TTGGGGCACAACATATATATATTAAATCATGCTTGTAAATCTTATACAATAATATTAACATACTGTATTTGAATTTTAAAATAGGAGTATTACGCCAACGATTGTGAAACTGAAATTAATGATATGACAAATGTAGAAATACAACAAATCACATTGAAACAGGTTATCGAATTTGTGGGAGGGTTGGCCAATGTTAGAGAAATATGGTCTGTAGCAATCGGCAATGCAACAACTGTGAAACATCATGTAGTTCTATTAAAGAACCATTTACATGTTTGTACATGTCTATCTATTATTCAACATGGCGTAATTTGTAGACATTATTTTCGAATTATGCTTGCAACCAGCACCGCAAAATTTCACATTCATCTTATTCCTTCTCGATAGTATTATAAAGACCTTGATGGCTCCAAAGAACTTTTTTTTACTGCAGAAAAGTTTATAGAAGAAAATAGTACATCATTACAATGCGAATCACCCATGCTTATTAAATATTTATGTGCATTTCAACAAGGAAATCAAGACTTTCTTGAAGAAAGTCTTAATTCATCTCAGCAAAAAATGATTTATGGAAAATTACACAGAGCATACAAAAAAGCTGTTCAAAAAGCGTTACAAAGTAAAGTGAAGTCACAACAGCTTATTGAACTATTACAAGATTTTACAGAAATGGAGAATGGAGAGTCTGATGATGAAGAAAGCGAAATGTCTGGTGAAAAATCCGAAGAAAGTGATGCCAATAAAGAAAATCAAGAATTTGTATTGTCAAATCCGAAAGTAAGACGTGGAAAAGAACGACCACCTGGAAGTAAATGTTTAAAATCATCACATAAACCGAATATCAAAGAAAAACAGCAGAGACGCTGTAAAAAGTGCAGTGGTGTAGGTCATTATCAAAAGAAGTGTAATAAGCTATAGATTTCTATTACATGAATAGTGTGTCTAGTTGGACTAATTATAGACATTACACATGTATATGTACGTATCATGAAAAGAAAATGCTTAAATAATAAATAAAGATTGTATATGATCTATTTGTTGTGATATACTGGTAAATACATCTTACATATTATCTCTCTTTTCCCAGGCTACATAATGCCATACAAGATCATAATAACGACTTTTTATATAGTTTTCTTTTTTTCATATTGAACATTTTAGTACATACATACGTACATACATACTCAATATCGACTATTTTAGATAAGGTGTTCAACAAAACGTAGTGCAAATTGTTAGTTAACAGACGTAAAGGTCATATCAAAATACTGTATATAGTAAATAGTTCGTACATTTGTACATATGTACATACATACTGCTTCGCTTTTGCTCATAAATCAACTGTAGTTTGTGTAACATAATTATTTTGAAATTCAAATCGTTACACTAAATCACATGATATACATACATGCGTTACAGCGCTATGGCGTTAAATTATATAGCTCTTTTTTTTTATTGCAGTTTTGTGCAGATTTGCAAAAAAATTAAATAATAAATCAAATAAAAATCTGTGCAAAACTTTAAAATTTATACTATAAATACAGAAATTAGATACAATTTTGTGCAAATCTTCAAATTCTAAAAAATTTTGCAGATTTTTTACAATTCTTCAAAAATCTGCAAAAATACAGATTTTTGCAAATTTGTATTTATTTAATTTTTTCAATATATATGTTGCACAGCTACCTTAGTTTTTTTAAATTTAAACCTAAACATGTTCATAAACTTCGAACTGAACTTAAACTGAACCAATATTTCAAGTTTGAATTCAGTTTAGATTTATAAATTCTAAGTTCAGTTTGAGTTAGAGTTCAAATATTTGCAAAATTTAAGGTTTAGGTTTGGGTTTGATCAAATCTAGCCGGACCAAACCCAAATCCAATTTTGAAATACAACAAATGAGATTGATGGTTTGATTATAGCTAGTGATAATTAATTTAATTAATTATTTCTGTAACCTTTAGAGGCTTTTGAATATGAAACTCTGTAGTAGTAATACTATATAATATATATATTTGGTTGATAAAGAATTCTTGAAAAGAGCCTTGAGCTATGAAGAAGAATTAGGCACTGTATATAACATAGGTTAAGGAAGATAATACTGCAGAAGGCTGCGATTGGCAAGGTAATATTAACAATTCTAAGACAGCATTGGGATTTTGATTAGGAGAATAGCTGAATGTGGTATATTCAGAAGTGGTAAAAGAAGCAGTGAATATAGTAAAAGAATGTGATAAGAGAATAGCTTTACCAAATATAGAACACCTCTGGTACAAGAAAACAAGAAAACTAGCTAAAAGAAACTCTGAAAAGTATGAAAGCAAGCACTCTGGTAGTATGAAAATAAAAATGACTAGTAAGTAATATTTGCATAACCTATATAAAAATTAATGATAAAATATAGCAAAAGTATGGGTTCTGGGTTACTAGCTTGTAACAATAATTAAATAAGATACTTAACTCTCATTCTAAGAATCTAGACTTCTGTAATATCATACCAATAGAAGTATTAAAAAAAAATTGATAGCCTAATTTGGTGGTGTATATGTGAATATCTGAATCAACATCTAGTATAGTAGCAAGTAGCTTTAAATACAAGTTTTATAATCTAGTAGCACCTGTTTAAAATACAGATTAGGTCCTTAAAGTAGCTTCTCTAGAAACACTAGACTGGAAATACAAAGAGTGTTTACTTGAAAGACACCAATTTGGAAGTTATATAAATGCAACATTTATAAATAAAATACCTTTCTAAATGCATATTTTTGGTTTGGCAAGGTAAAAGAGGATAGATTTTGGGCCAAATTTGTCTTAATTCTGGTTAAAATTAAAATTAAAAATTGATTTTGACCAGAATTTAGATATATTTGGCCTAAAAAATCTGCAATCTTTTGCTATACCACCTATTTTAGAATTATTCAGAGTCTTGGCTTAGCTGTAAAAAATTATTAGTATTAAATATATGTTTAATATTCTGCAAATACACATTCACTCAAAAGATTTTCTATATTATACTAGCTTTTCCAAATGCATATAGCTAATTAAAATTTATTATTTAAGTTGTATTACACAAGCCTACAGATTAAATATTAGAAGCTGCAATTTAATTAACTTTTTCTAAATACAAACCTCTTTAAATGCATGATTGAGACTAGTCTGCATATATTGCATTTAGGAAAATTAGAAGTAATATGATAAATAATAAAAGTGAAAGTTAGTTAATAGATGTTGTATATAAGTAGAATATACAGTATATAATAAAATAGGTTTGAAAACTATCTAGTAATTTAAAAACTGGTTTACTTTACAGAAACTAGCTATTTTTTTTCAATGGAGTTAAGATCATCTTAATGATATTATTAAATTTTTTAATAAT